TTCTTTCTAACCCCAAAGAAAACCGGGGAATGGCGTCCAATCCTAAACCTAAAGCCATTAAACAGGTACATTCGGCCCCGCCGGTTCAGAATGGAAACCCTTCGTACGGTTCTAGATTGCCTGACGATTCCAGCTTGGGTGTCAACATTAGACCTGAAAGACGCTTACCTGCATGTTCCAATGTTCAAACATCACCGTCATTTTCTCCGTTTTCAATATCGGGGAATGATGTTCGAGTTCCGATCACTTCCTTTCGGCATTTCGACAGCCCCAAGGGTGTTTACCCATTTTGCAAAGACTGTCGCAGCCATTCTTCGCTTGCATCACGTGCAAATTTTTGCGTATCTTGACGACTGGCTCGTAGTAGGACAATCGGAGGCCGAGACCCACTGGGCCATAGATACAACCCTGTCTCTGGCAAGAAATCGCATCTGATCCAATCTTTCACCCCAACCTGCCTTGGTGCCGTGCTCGATCTCCACTGGGGCATTTCAACACCAACAGAGGAAAGGATTCACAACCTTATACAATGTGTGAATCTATTCTTTGCCATCACGATCGCTCCAGCCTTGGCCTGGTTACGCCTTCTGGGACTAATGGCAAGTCTAGTGGACCTCGTTCCTTTGTGCAGAATGCGAATGCGTCCCATACAACTCCATCTCCTGGCCTTATATTGTCCGAAACGAGATCCTCTCTCGCTTTTGGTTTCGATTCGGCCCCTAGTACTTCAACATCTCAACTGGTGGCGCCAACGGGTAAACCTCAGTTGTGGAGTGACCTTCCCTCGACCTCAACCCACCTTGATTCTGACGACCGACGCATCCATACAAGGATGGGGTGCTCACTTGGGAGCAGAGATCACAGCCGGAGTGTGGTCCCCACAAGAGAGTTTATATCACATCAACGCTCTAGAGTTGTTAGCAGTCCAACGAGCTCTAATTCATTTTTCCAAACTGGTGACAGGTCATCATGTTCAGATCATGTCCGACAACTGGACAGTCGTCTCGTATGTCAACCGACAGGGGGGACTCGGTGTCCCCCCCCCCCCCCCCCCCCCCCCCGTTATGTTTTCAGACATGGGACCTCCTTTGTTGGTGACTAGCGAATAAGGTGCGACTATCTGCAACTCACCTCGCAGGGAAAGTGAACACCCTGGCAGACGCCCTATCCAGGGGCAAGGTTATCCCCACAGAGTGGACACTTCATCGAACTGTGGTCGAGGCTATCTTCAAGAAATTCGACCAACCTCACATAGATCTGTTTGCGTCAGCCCTAAACCACCAGCTGCTGGTATACTGTGCTCGCAGTCGGGATCCTCAAGCATGGGCGTCGGACGCTCTCTCGATCGATTGGAGAAACATGTACGCTTATGCCTACCCTCCGATCTCACTAATTCTAAGAGTTCTAACCAAGATAGAAGCGGAAGTATGCAGGGTTCTTCTCATTGCACCCTTTTGGCCTCGCCAAGCATGGTTCCAAAGACTTATTCGCCTTCTCGTACATCCCCCAGTCTTACTTCCACAAGGAGCGGACCTCATTTGCCAACCTCGGTCGAAGATTTTTCACCCGGGGTCAGAAAATCTCCACTTAACGTGTTGGATGTTGTCCAGCATTCTTTCCGATCAGCAGGCCTTTCAGCAGACGCTGCCTACATGGCTGCCAGAGGCCGTCGAAAATCCGCTAGACAGACTTACGACAGCCGCCTTCAACATTTCTATAAATGGTGCAGAGTTGACTCAGTGGATCCGTGCTCAGCGCCTTTGAAAGATGTTGGTGATTTTCTAATGAAACTTTTCAATAAGGGCCTCACGGTGGCGACTATTCGAGGCTATCGTTCAGCTCTTGGATCAGTTCATGCTGGGTTTCCAGATGGTAGTACTATCTCTAATAATAACCCTCTAACCCAAATGCTTAAGGGTATGTTCATTGAGTGTCCTCCAAACAAGAAACTCTTTCCGACTTGGGATCTTGGGCGGGTCCTTCAGGCATTGTCTAAGCCACCCTTTGAACCCTTATCTGAGGCCGCAGTTATAGATTTAGCTGTGAAAATGGCCTTCCTTCTGGCTACGGCCACTGCTAGGAGACGGCGTGAGATCCATGCTTTCTCTATTGATCCAGGTCATATTCGATAGGAACCAGGTGGTGTTCGTCTGGTTCCCAACATGTCCTTTCTGGCCAAAAATCAAACCCCGTCTTATACGCCCCCTGATATTTTTATTCCTGAAATTAAGTCCTTGTCCTCAGTAGCCTGTTATAACAGGCCTTCGGACTGTACGTTCCATGACATGAACTGTACGTTCTGTAAGTACACGCACTCATGAATAAAAACATGTGCAAACATGGCGGCCCGCATGGTGAACCCCAAATGGTGAGTCTCCGCAATCTTGTCAATTCTTATCAACATTAAACCAGTAACCTAACATGGTGGCAGCGGTGGGATGATACAGTATAAAATAACCGTCATTTTGCATTCCACTTTTCGCATGAAAAAGTGACATTTACGCTACAACTTTCGAACGAATTGTTGTGAGTTTCACGCACGCACGGGAACACGTAGACATCGCAATGACGCAGTGTACATCGTTGGGGGCGGTATCCAGCGCTCCGTTAATTGGCCGTCTCGACCAGTACGACCAAGTTGAAGACATTCGCAACTACATCGAGCGTCTTAACCTCTATTTTGTTGCAAATGACATCCCTGCGGCGAAACAATCGGCAGTTCTGTTGAGTGCAGTTGGTGCTACTGTCTACAAGACTGTAAAAAGCTTAGCTGAACCAACTCCAGTGCCTGCAAAGAGCTTCAAAGAACTCTGTGATATGCTTGTATCACACTACGGCCCAAAGCGTCTAGTTGCAGCAGAGCGTTTCCGATTTTACAAACGCGAACAACACATGGATGAGTCCATCGCTCAGTATGCTGTTGCACTACGCGATCTTGCCAGCCCCTGCCAGTTTGGGACATTTCTCGATGACGCCTTGCGTGATCGCCTGATCTGTGGCCTCCGAAGTGAGTATGTTCAGAAACATCTTCTGACTAAGGATAGCCTCACTTTCCAGAAAGCCCTGGATGTTGCAAAAACTCTAGAGACAGCCACCAAAGATCTCCGTGAAATTAAAGGAGCACACAATACGGCTGCTGTTCACGCGATGCACCCCAAACCTCGACAGAAGATGCCCCACAATCGATCGACCAAACCCAACACCCACCAGGCCAGGTGTCCCAATTGCGGATACGACCCAAGTCATGCTACATGCCCTGCTAGAGGCCAGAAGTGCAAGTCCTGTCACAAAACTGGACATTTTAGCTGGGTTTGCCGATCCCAACCTAAACACACGCGAGCTGTGATGGCACCGACTTCATTTGACGATGAGACTGAGTTCTTTGTAGGCTCCGTATCCAGTAAAAGTGCCCCATCACACACTTCCTGGCGCCAGACCATCCTTGTTGAGAAAAAGCCCATCAACTTCTTACTTGACACTGGGTCCGAGGTAAACATACTGCCACTTCATGTTTACCACACCCTGAAGCTCCACAACCCGACCCTGCAGTCTACGACTACAACCCGTCTGTGCGGTTTCTTCGGCGGAAAAGTCCAGCCAAGAGGACAGAAACGCCTATCATGTGAAGTCAAGGGCAAGTACCATATCCTGACTTTTCTTATCATTGGTGATGGTGAGCCAGTTCTGGGAAAACATGCCTGTGTTTCCCTTAACCTGGTACAGCGTGTGTACACCATGATAAATGATGATGATGTTTATGAGAGAACCGGATGCCTAAAAGGCCCACCAGTCAAGATAAAGCTGACAGAAAACGCTACACCGCACTGTGTCCATGCCCCTTGTCGAATCCCACTGCCCTTGCACCCCCAACTCAAGGCAGAGCTAGACAAAATGGAGAAACAAGGAATCGTCACGCGCATCACAGAACCAACTGATTGGTGCGCCCCGATCGTGATCGCTCCAAAGAAAAATGGAAACATCAGAGTCTGTGTTGACCTACGAATGCTGAACAAAGCCGTGGCCAGGGAGCAGTTTAGTATACCTACCTTGGAAGAGGTCCTGGGTAAAATTGCCGGTGCCCAGTTATTTTCTGTCCTCGATGCCAAGCATGGGTTTTGGCAAATTCCGCTCCACCCTGACAGCCAGAAGTTAACCACATTCATCACACCATTTGGTAGATTCTGCTTCAATCGCCTGCCATTTGGCATCACATCGGCACCTGAGCTGTACCAGAGAATCATGAGTGATCTGCTGGTCAATCTACCAGGAGTTGTCATCTACATGGATGATGTTCTTGTCACGGGTGCGACACCAGAGGAACATGACGCACGTCTCCGTCATGTACTGCAAATTCTACAAGGAGCTGGGCTGAAGCTTAATAAGGACAAGTGCAAAATTGCGCAAGAGCAGGTGCACTTCCTTGGCCATCGTCTCGATAAGCATGGAATTCACCCTGATCCTGCTAAACTTGATGCAATCCTCCAGATGTCGCCACCTACGACGAAGGAGGAAGTCAAACGACTGATGGGGATGGTGAATTGGCTATCTCGTTTCATACCCCATGCAGCTACAGTGGCAGCACCGATTAATGCTCTGATGAAAGGCGACACAGAGTGGACTTGGGGTCCAGCACAACGCAGTGCTTTCAGACACCTCAAGACACTGCTAACTACAGCCCCGACGCTTGCATACTATGACCCAACAAAGCCAACGATGGTCAGTGCTGATGCCAGCAGTTACGGCATTGGTGGTTACATCCTTCAGAAGCAGGAAGATGAGTCCTGGAGACCAGTAGCATATTGTTCCCGAAGCCTGACACGTGCTGAACAACGATATGCACAGATCGAGAAGGAGCTACTGGCTGCTGTATGGTCATGTGAGCGTTTCTTCGTCTATCTCCGCGGCTACAAGTGACGCTCCAGACAGACCACAAACCCCTAGTGTCCCTAATCAACAAAAAGGACTTATGTGATGCCCCTCTCCGATGCCAAAGACTGCTGATGAGGCTGATGAGATACAACTGCGAAGCAGAGTACACCCCTGGTAAGGACCTGGTTGTGGCCGATGCACTTTCGCGAGCTCCTCTCCAGCGAGATAAAGTGGCCGAACCAGATGAAGATCTTGAAGGCGAGATCGAAGCACATGTCCACTTGATCACAACCCAGTGGCCAGCATCTGATGCAAAGCTGGTCGAAATAGCCTTAGAGACCAGTCACGACCGTACCCTGAGTGCAGTCATCACTCACGTCAAAGATGGATGGCCTAAGTACCAGAAGGATGTCGACCCAGAGTTGAAACGGTTCTGGGATGACCAAGACAAGATCAGCCTAGTCGGTGGTATCCTCACATATGGTGAGCGCATTGTGATTCCACACGACCTGAGACAACAAATGTTGCAGAGAATCCATGAGGGTCATCAAGGCGTCTCAAAAAGCCAACTTCGAGCCAATCAAGCCTTGTGGTGGCCTGGTATGAGTACTGACATAGCCCAGTATGTCCAGTCTTGCCCGCATTGCCAGGATATGCAACCATCGCAACGCGCCGAACCACTCATTTCCACGCCACTCCCACGACTACAGAGACCATGGCAGCAATTGCCTGCTACCTAGCCTAGGTGAAGGGGAAGATGTACCTTGTGCTGGTAGACTACTATTCCTGATGGATAGAGCTACATCACCTCCACTCGACAACAGCCAAATCTGTGATAAACTTCATCAAGGCAACATTTGCTAGATATGGTATTCCCGAAGTGGTGGTGACTGACAATGGTCCACAGTTTTTTGGGTGAATTTGACCAATTCGCTCGTGAGTACAACTTCGAACACATCACCTCCAGTCCCTATTACCCACAGGCCAACGGACAAGCAGAGAAAGCTGTACACATGGCCAAGAGACTGTTAAGCCAAGACGATCCAGTCCGCGCCTTGATGCTGTACCGGTCCACTCCTAGCCTTGGCCAGAGTCCAGCCAGTCTCCTAATGGGAATGGAGATTCGCACCACACTTCCAATCCTGCCATCGTAATCTGCAGCCTAAGAAGGTAGATCACAACAAGCTGAAGGCTACAGACAACATGAACAAACAGAAAAGCGGACAAACCTTCAACAAGCGACACGGTGCAAGACAGCTGGATGATTTGATGCCTGGAGACAAGGTTAAGATCCGAACCAAAGGACAGCTGAGCCCAGAAGGTGAAGTTGTACGTCAGGCTGGGACTCCACGGTCCTACATCATCAACATCAACGCACTGAGTACCGTCGAAACAGACGTCATATCTTTCTTCTTCCCAAACCATCCCTGGATCCAGTTCTTGACATCCAAACATCATGCAAGGAGACCAAGGATCCTCAACCAGCTGAATCTCGACCCACTCGAGTTACCCGTCCACTAGTTTTGGCACAAGGACTACATTGTGTCTCAAAACTAGACCAGTCACACACTTAATCAAAAGAGAACAAACTAGCATTTAGATAAGCACCAAATGAATCAGAATCAACACTGAGACGCAAAATTACAGTAATCAACTTTCATTGGACATAGAACTGTAACGTGTTAGATCTGCAAGAAACCTCATCTCATCTGAACATTAAGCTGAACACTAGCAACTTTATTTTAGTCACAGAGACTCTCAAATCTCTCAACTCAAGGATTTGAACTTTTCAATTGATTCCAGTTCTTGGAATTCATATTCACATTGTTGTTTATTAACCAGTTGGTTGCTTTTTAGAAAAAGGGGAGATGTTATAACAGGCCTTCGGACTGTAAACGTTCCATGACATGAACTGTACGTTCTGTAAGTACACGCACTCATGAATAAAAAACATGTGCAAACATGGCGGCCCATGGTGAACCCCAATGGTGAGTCTCTGCAATCTTGTCAATTCTTATCAACCTTAAACC